CCATTAAAGAGAAAAATGTAGAAAGATGCTGTATGGACCCTAATGAATTTAGAATTCTTCAAAGCTTCTAAGCAGTATCAGAATGCTTACAACCAAACTCTTAAAAATATTTCGCATTCATAAGCAATTGGCATATTTGTGGATATACAGTGTATTGTAGAACATATTTCAAAAAAGAAAAAAAAAGTGGACTTTACAACACCAGATATTAGGAAACATTTTTTTCAACATTAGAAGTTGCTGCTTTTAAATTTATTTGTTATAATTTGGACCATCTGAACTACAGCAGTACTATCCTGGTGTGCTAATGCGGGCTTTTAGGGGGAGTAGGCTAAGACCTCAACAGGTAACAGCAGAATAATTTCAAATGAAACATCCCTCCTGATAGTGGGTCTCACCCATTAACCTTAGAGTATGACTCTGTTGAATCTTTGAAGGTAAGGCCTCCTAGGGGATGCCACCTAATTCATCACAGAGAGACTAAGATGGAAAATGTTTCCCAAATGACTCTCTGTATGTTCTTTGACCTGAAGCCTCCACCCTGGATGAGTGAGTGTTTTTCAAATTGTTGTTTTAGTTCAGTGAAAGATGTTTCTAATGCTCTTCAAATAGTAGAACTTTTTGTTATTGTTGTTCAAGTCAAGGCAAGGACAATTCTTTAGCAGCTATATTCCTTTTCTTATTTTATTACAATTTTCCCTTATGTATTCAGTGTTTCATCATATGCCTTTTACTTGTAAGGTTGTAACTCAATTAAAGCATTCAAGCATTTTAGCCTTGTACATTAAAGACTATCATCAATAAATTCAAATGGGGCTAACCTTGGAGTGACATCTTCATTTCTATGATAATATGCAATCTGCGAGTCTTTTCATATCATTGGCCACAGCTTGATCATACTCTCATAAGTAAAGACCTTGGAACTTTAAATAAGTTACTTCTTCATCTTTAGCCAGTTGGATTCATTTATTTATAAATGTTTATTTCAAGTTATTTCACTGGGCTCAAGTGGTTGATTGATGCTTCATGTGACCATTTGCCTTTTCAAAACACAGGAATGTAGCTGGGACATAACTTTCCAATAGCTGTTTAATATGAAAACCTATTTTGTGTATGATTTTTTCTGTAATCACTTGTGCATGACTGAGCTTAAATGGTTTGCAGGCCTTGCTGATGGATTGCAGAACAAGCAATGAACTTGCAATTCTTTCTGAAGGGATTAGATGATTTTGCACTGTGGTGAAGTGTGCATTTTGCCCCTCATTTCACTCTTGCTTAGGTGCTGTTTGGTGATTAGTTTTATGAGATATGATCAAAAATCCTCTAGATGAGCTGCACAAGGCAGATGGTGCCTTCTGATAAAAATGACATTCTTGTCTAGTCGTGATAGGCATGGGATAGAAGTTGATGATCTGTTTGTATGCATTTCCAAAAGGAAAGCTGAAGAACTTAGTTAAGGAAGAAATAGTTCAAGGCCTTTTTACCCTTTACTACTTTCAGGCCCATGGCATGATACAGAGAACCCCAGGTTGCCATTGATGCCCACTAGCCAAGCTATGGCAAGCTCTTAGCTTGCACCGTTTATTTCACCAACTTGTAATATTACAGCATTTTGTTTTGTTTTATGTTTGTTGGCTGATATAATAGGACAGAAATACTGTTAGATGTTTGTCTAGCACAATAATTGATCACATAATTAATCAAATATATTTTATATTTTTCTTCCAGAGAGCCAACTAGTGTTTGAATTCAACATTTATTTTTAGCTTTTAGAAATGTATTAGAAAAAGGATAATGAAAGCAAACAGAGACTATCACTATAATAAGCAATAAACAGAATTAGCTTTTTAATTTTTTTTTTTTGCAGACACAGTATATTCACAGGTTTCAGAGTATGGCTACTTGCTGTGATAGCTGAGGCAAGTCACAAGATTTTGCAAAGCCCTTGCAAAATGGAGATAATGATGCACCCTCCTTTTAAGCTTGTAGAACTTGTGAGATTTGAATGAAATGATCCATGTAGATTGCTAAGCATAGTACATAGTTAATTTTCTAGAAATGTTGGTGTCTTCATCTGTTTTGTGTTGCTACTATAGAACACCAATGCAGAATACCACAGACTAGGTAATTTATGTACAATGGAAGTTTATTTGGTTCATGGTTCTGGGAACTGGAAAGTCCAAGAACATGGCACCAGTACCTGGTGAGAACCTTCATGCTGTGTCATCCCATGGGGGATGTGAGAAAGGCAAGAGAAGGTGAGAGCAAGAGAGAATAAGGAAGCTGAACTTACTTTGATACCAAGCTACTACTGTGATAAGAACAGTAATTAATTCATGAGGGTAGAACCCTCATGACCTAATCACCTATTATTAGGCCTCACCTCTTAACACTGTTGCATTGGGAATTAAATTTCCAACATATGAACTTTGAGGACACATTCAAATCATAGAAGTTGGTTAATATTTTATGTCCCTGAAGCTATGCCAAGTGTATTCTCTGCTTAGGCTTATTTTCCCGTTTTATAAGTGAAGAAACACATGTCAAAAAGTTAAGCACAATTTACAGTCACAGCTAATGGGCTCAGGCTGTCTCATATCAAAATTGTAAATATAATTCTGTGTTTAATGCTGAACATAATTTTAAGTGTTTTTCTCCATAATTTTATCAGGAAACTGAAAATCAGAGATTTTATGTAATATACAAAAGACTCTCAGGTTACAAAGTCACAAAGCTGGGATTTGAATGTTATTCTGCCTGGATTCCAGATAATCCTTGCTCATCACCCTGCTCTCTGAACACCACATGGGATTATAGTATTGGAGGAAAGGGCTTATACATTTTTTTATTATTTCCTATTCTTTTTTGTTATCTATATTCACTAAATATTTCAGTGATGGTTGAAATGAACAAACTTTAAAATACATAAGCAAAAATACTAATAAGATACTACTTCAAAATTACCAGAATAGCTAAAACTGAAAAGACTGACAAAAACAAAATGCTGGTAAGGATTTGGAGTAACCAGAACTCTCATACTTTTTTGGTGAGAGTGGAAAAATTACAACCACTTTGGAAAAGTTCTGAGTATTTCTTTTTTTTTGAGACAGAGTTTCACTCTTGTTACCCAGGCTGGAGTGCAATGGCACGATCTCGGCTCACTGCAACCTCCGCCTCCTAGGTTCAGGCAATTCTCCTGCCTCAGCCTCCTGAGTAGCTGGGATTACAGGCACGCACCACCGTGCCCAGCTAACTTTTTGTAGTTTTAGTAGAGACGGGGTTTCACCGTGTTGACCAGGATGGTCTCGATCTCTTGACCTCGTGATCCACCCGCCTCGGCCTCCCAAAGTGCTGGGATTACAGGCGTGAGCCACCGCGCCTGGTCTGAGTATTTCTTTTTAAAAGTAAACATACATCTTTGCTATGTCCGGGCAATTCCACTTCTAGGTATTTACCCAAAAGAAATGAAAACTTATGTCCACAAAAAGACTTGGTGAAAATGCTTATAGCAGTTCTGTTTATAATGTCCAAAAACTGAAAAAAATACAGATGTTTATCAATCAAGAAAATAAACTGTTGTATAGTCATATGATAGACTACTGCTTAGCAATAAAAAGGAATAAGCCACTGCAACATGCATGAACCTCAAAAACATTATGCTAAGTGAAAGAATTATACAAGGGAGTACATACTGTTAGAGTACATGATGGTAATTATGGTTAGAACAAGCAACATTAATCTGTGTTAGTGCTTCCCTCCCTAAACATAGTAACCTGCTCCTTATGGGCGATAGTAAGACAAGTGTTTAAGAAAACACTATGGCATGTACTTCTCAGACAATTGTGGAGGGATTGTTTAAGAAAACACAGTCATGTACTTCTCAGAAAATTGTGGAAGTCTCTTAAATGAAACTATTCTTAGTTACTGTTGGAAGTTGACATTATTTATGTCCCCACTGTGGGCAGTTTTACCTGCAACATGGGTTATCCAATTAAAAAAACTGATAATAAATTTGTGTCTGACTTTAGCTAAAATGATCAATGACAGCATCTTGGTTCTGTAAGCCATTCAAGCCAGTTTGAACTCACTGGCCTGGGTTATTTTGTTATCTGTATTCATTAAATATTCTAGTGATGGTTGAAAGAAACATACTTTCACAAGAGATGTTTTGGATGATAAAATTTTACTTGGCTTCTTCCTTGTGGGCCAGAGCAGAGTTTGTGCAATCACTAATATATCCTGCTGTGTATGAACTAATGCCTTGAGGTAAGCAGAAAGGTCAATATGGGACCTAAGGAGAAAGCCTTCTGGTGGTTTATCAGACTTGTTAAGCTGACCCCATCTGGGCCCCAGAGCAGGGCATGGTTGAGATACACTGCTTGAAGTTCTATTGATAGGACCTTTAATTAAATGCTGTATTAGACAAATTGAATGGATTATGTCCTAGCACTAATTAGTCGCTGAGAGAATGGGCTACTTGTAGTACAATTCATGAGATGCCAAGGTGGTGTAGAAATGAGGAGTGGAGATTGTTGTGAGACAATTCTCCATGTGCCTCTTGCATTTCTGCATGTGTGAAGGGTGATGCTCTTTGTTCTGGAAGTTCCTTTGTTACAGATAGATCTTTGTTCAAGATCATCTTTTCAAGGATGTAAGCAGGCATGGTCACTGCCCATTATAAAAGTTTCAATTTCCCCATGGAGCCAGGATGAATATTGACACAAGTGACAAGGGGAAAGAACTGAGGTTGATTGATTGGCAAGGAAGTCATCCTACACAAAGGAGAGTCAGCAACAACTGACTTTGTCTTTGAATCTATTTCCTTATAGTAGGCCTGTAATCACCTTCCCATCTTTTTCTCTCTATACTAAAAAATGCATTTGAGGACTATTTGTTATCCATAAACCATACCATTTGATTAACATGTTTACTAACAGTTCTTTTGTTAAATTTACTGCCAGTTCATATTTTGTTAAAGGTCATCATCTTTCCTCTTGCAGAAATCCATGTATTTTCCAGTACTCCATCCTCACTGTCAAAACTGTCGAGAATGCAAAAGCTCTGAGATTGTACCCTACCTGCAAGGCAACAAGTTAACCTGGCATAGTTTCATGTCTGCTGGTAGAAGCTATGAGGCTCCTGAGTCACAGGTAAAGAATTACTTATATTCTTTATTTCTCACAGTAATGGCAGTAACTAGAATATGAGCATGTTTTTCAATTTTCATAGAGAAGAGGGCTGGATGATACCTCAGTAATACAATAGGTTGCATTTTAGGAGAGAAACACCGAGCTTAAGGTGCCCGAATCTCTCTAATGGGTAGTTAGCATGTTTGCCCTTTGCTCCAGAGGGAGATGCTTTCTGTCTTCCAAGACTGTTCGCAATACAAATACCCTCAAAAATATAGTCGAGAATAAAGAGTATTTAGTACATAGCTCACAGTCATATGTGTGGAAATGTGAGACACCCGTGGAGAACTGTCTCCAACAGTTCTCCAATGGCACTCATTCTATACCTGGTTCATATTCCACGACCTGCTCAGAGCAGTGCCCTTCATTATCATTTTGCTTCAGTTTCCTCCTCCTTATCACCCTTTGCTTGACCTTGTCCTCATCTAGAAGTGCTCTTTCTATAAAATCTTCAAACTCTGAAATGTCAAACTCTGACCCAAATATTGCAGTTTTCTTTTTTGCTCATGGAGATTAAACAACCTTTGAAATTAAGTCTGACTTGAACCTCAAACCCCTTATATTCCTGTCCTATCTTTCCTTCCTGGCTTCACTCCCTTCCCTGTCAGGCTAAGCTGCAGCCACTCTGTCTACACCGGTGTCAATGCCTTTGTCCTGCTTCCTTCTGTTATACTTGTTTGACACTCGCAACTCTGGATTATCTACTACGTGTTTTCTCTCTTTCTGTTGGCAGGCTTTCCAACAAATGTGGAGAACATTGAATGACCTTGCTGATGAAAACATTAAAAATGATGATTTGCAATTTTAGCAGCTTCAGGCCATCTCCCTAGTTCAGACTTCTTACTTGTAAAATATTTTGGAGAGATGGCAGGCACCACAGCAATGAAAACTGAAATAGGCCTCAAATAATGGTCACAATAAAATGTTTATTATAATGGTAGCAGCAAATAGAAGACATTTTCTGTCAACATCTACCTGGGTAATGGACCAAAAGCATTTTAAGTTTACAAAGTGAAAACAATTAATATTTTCTTGAAGCTAGATTAAACAGAACCTAAAATTATATACTTGATAGATCTATATTATGGTTATCTTTACTGAATCTCAATTCAAGTTCGGGGATGTAACTTTGCAAAGTGACTTCCGAATTTTCTTGTTTTTCATTTTGTTATTTTCCATTAGGCAGCTAAACACATTGTCAAGTGTCAAAAGCTTTTGCCATGAATGTAGGTGAAGAAAATATGAGAGTGAATGCTCTGATGATGGTTTTAGTTTATGATGCATTTCAAGCTCTGCCTCTTATAGTTAAATCCTCCGATATTTTTAGTGGGATGAACCATCACGTATTTAAAAAACTTAAGCACTTTTGTTTCAAAGAGAAGAGTCAAGTTTAATGTCAATTGGTGAAAGCATAGAGTATGACGGGTTTTAGGAGAGAAACCTGAAATTGTACAGGGTATAAGCATTTTGTCATTCTTACTTTATGATCCCTCAAGGCAGTTTTTATTCAAAACCAAATTTGTGCTGACACTACCAGGCTTCTGATATTTAAATTCATGATAACAAATGAGGAAAAAATTAAAAGGTAATAAAGTAAATACAGTTTCAAATGAGGGCAAAAACGAGAGGAAGTCATCAGCTGGCAGGAACATGAAGTCCATATTATTAATGCATAAGAATGAAACAAAAAAATGGATGTGTTAGGGAGGTTTTGTTTGTAAGTTTAATTGAAATTTAGAAAGTCTTTCTTTTTTTTCTTTTTCAAAAGCAGTGTCAAAAATGGTAGATCTTATTCTTGTAAAAAAAAACCTATTTAACTTGCTGTGAATCTGAACCACAGATGCTACAATATTATCAATATGATAGACCTTAAAATAATTGTGGGTGTCCCTTCTATAGTGGGGAGAGTTTTAGATTTGATTGCTGTTTCTGGCTGGCTCCTCTATTAATTTAGATGAGCTGCTTAATCTCTTTAGGTTTTCTTAAAATAAATGAGTATATTAGATAATCTTTAAACTCACTTCTAGTTCTAAAATTCTTTTACATTCCTCTATTTCCTATTTCCCTCCTTTTTTAGAAACATAAAATCCTTGCAGAATTTTTTGGAAGCAATTCTTTTGTCTTCACCCTGGCATCTCTCTCTCTTTCTCTCTTTCTCTCTCTCTGTCATCAGATAAAGTGTAGGTCTGAATTTTTGGGACCATTATATATTTCTGTGGTAGTTATCTTCTTTATGCTTTTGAAATATTTTCAGTGCTGTGTTTGTGCTCAGTTTCTTTTGATAAAGATAAAAGCAGATTGCAGGACACTGTGATCATCTCAGTAACAGTTCCTTGGTTATTTTTTTTTTAAACAGCAATTTATTTTAGAAAAGCTAAATGATTTAATGTACATTAACTCACTGATGTTCACATGGGCCTGTCTAAGGAGTGGGAAGGGCTGGTATTTTACCATTATGTGCTTTTACAGACAGGTACAGAGGAGCCACTGAAATGCAGTGGAATGAATATAATCTGACTAAAAGGTATCTCAAATTTTAACCCCCTCTGATAGGGGAAAAGAACACCCAGTGCTTGCCTTCACATAGCACTTAGCACATTACATTGTACTTCCTTATTTATGGATCTTTTTTACCCACTAGGCTGTGAGCTTTTCAAGGACGCTGCATAACACATAATGAGCCCTGTATTGTTATTTCCTGAAATGACATGGAACTTACTCAATATAACTCAGGTTCATTATTGCATCTGGCCCATTTTTGCAGCAGTTTTGCCAGATTCTTGCTCTTTGCCAGGCATAGATTTCTGAGGCCTCCTTCCCCAAAATCCCTAAATTTCAAAGAGTAGGAATATTTGCACAAGTAATCAACATTTTATATAATCATATTTCTGTATATTTTGCTTTATATTAGCCACTTTTTCAAGTTTGATTAAATAAAACTTTCTCTCTTACTTGATTCCTATTTTTCCCCAAAGTAACAAAATCTTACCACATTATGGAAGTGACTACAAGTAGGAAAAAAAATGTCAGGTTGAGATGCAGATTGTATACATCAAATTTTAAAATTCCTGTGATGGTGATGATAATGGTTGTATCTGGAAATGTGTCCTGTTTCCTTTTTGCCAGGCACTTATATGTTTTATAAGTATGTATTTATTTACTTCTCAAAATAATACAGTGAGATAGGTATCATTCTCATAATGAATTGAGAAATCGAGATTTAACAGCTTTGCCTAAAATCAACAACTAGTTAGAGGCAGCAGGCCTCACATCTGTATTTCTCTTTTAGAGTCTATATCTGTATTTCTCTTAACTTTCTCTTGAACAGAAATTAATTTCAATATTTCACTTTAAACCTTTGGCAAGGAAATCAAAATTTTAACAGATATCTGAAGATTTTGGTAATTGCTGAATCCTTCACAGAACCCCTAGTAAGTAAGCCAAAGTCGGGTTGTAGATTGTCATTAATAAAGAGGTACCACCAAATAACTTATTGTCAATTTTTTTCATATTTGAAATTTAAATGTGTGCATTTTAAAAATTATTTGCGTGCATACTAATATGTTATTCATATGTAATTAATTGTTTGAGGAAAGAATTAGAATTTTGGTTGAGGAAAGAATTAGAATTTTCTGTGCTTTGATGCAGTATGTGGAAAGAAGTTAATTGCATTATAAACATTTGCCGTTTTGGTTGTTGAGCTTTCAATTCTTCCTCCTTTTGGTAAGAACTCTGATTGGGTTTTAGGGAACCACCACTGCCCCATTGTCAGCCCCGGAAGTTTCAGTGAAGCAGCTCAGCATTCCCTTTTCCAGGGGCAGAACATGTAACCTAAGATTATTCCAATCAGTCATTTCTTTTCCCCTGGTTATAGTTACTGGTTACTGGTTCAGAGATAGGCACTGCAACACTGACTAGTTGTCATCACAGCTCAACTAAACGTTAGAGCTCACTTCCATACATTACCCTTGATACCAGTATACAAAGAGGGTTATAGGAGAGAAAACACAGCTTTCCAGTAGAAGGGAATTAGACATTCTTTCTTGCAACAGTCCTTGCAGCAGTCCAGCTTTGCAATAAAGCTAAAATACAAGAAAACATAATCTGCATTGCACAGGTGAGAAAATCATCATGTCCAATAACCAATATCATTTGTAACAAATCTTTTTAAAAAATTTTTATTTATTTTTATTGCATTTTCGGTTTTGGAGTACGTGTGAAGAACATGCAAGATTGTTGCATAGGCACACACATGGCAGTGTGATTTGCTGCCTTCCTCCCCTTCACCTATATCTGGCATTTCTCCCCATGCTATCTCTCCCCACCTCCTCACCCCCCCGTCCCTCCCCCATTTCACCCCAACAGACCCCAGTGTGTAGTGCTCCCCTCCCTGTGTCCATGTGTTCTCATTGTTCAATACCCGCCTATGAGTGAGAACATGCGGTTTAGGTTTTCTGCTCTTGTGTCAGTTTGCTGAGAATGATGGTTTCCAGGTTCATCCATGTCCCTACAAAGGACACGAACTCATCATTTTTGATGGCTGCATAATATTCCATGGTGTATACGTACCACATTTTCCCTGTCCAGTCTATCATTGATGGGCATTTGGGTTGGTTCCAGGTCTTTGCTATTGTAAACAGAGCTGCAATGAACGTTCGTGTGCACGTGTCCTTATAGTAGAACGATTTATAATCCTTTGGATATATACCCAGTAATGGGATTGCTGGGTCAAATGGAATTTCTATTCCTAGGTCCTTGAGGAATCGCCACAGTGTCTTCCACAATGGTTGAACTAATTTATACCTCCCACCAACAGTGTAAAAGTGTTCCTATTTCTCACATCCTCTCCAGCATCTGTTGTCTCCAGATTTTTTAATGATTGCCATTCTAACTGGTGTGAGATGGTATCTCAATGTAGCTTTGATTTGCATTTCTCTAAAGACCAATGATGATGAGCATTT